CAAAATATTGAGGGTTTTGTGGTTCAATTGCTCATGCAATAGAACTGATGCATAATGATCGTAATCTATTCCATTTATCTTCCTCCACTTACAGTTGATGTCCAGATCCTAAATACCTTTTGGATTCATTATCAGAGCACGTTTCTCTCTTTACACTGACAACGAGTCTTCAGGGACCGTGTTCTTGAAGTACCCGAGTCTGTCTTCTAGAATCTTTCATACTCATTAAAGACGATGAGTATGAAAAGATTGTTTCCCAAAGAGCTGACGAGCGTCGATTCCTCTCCCCACCCCCTTTCCCAATGTATTCTTGCACTGACCCTTCTCTCTCTGCGCCTCTTCCATTTATATAGACCTGGCTGGGCGAGTCCTTAATGACACCCATCAGTGATCATTTCCCAATCACTATTATGGGATCATTTCCTATTATGGGCTATTCCCCTAGTGATAGTCAATTCAATCAACTCCTTCCCTACCGCTCTCTTCCCCTCGGTAGCAGTGAGATCTGGTGGACTGAAAAGTTTCACTCTGCTGGTCGTCTCTTGTGCGTCAACCCTCCCTCTCCCTTCCTCCTTCAGTTCTCCTCGGGACACTGTAATAGATGCTGTTCTGAACTGTTCTTTGCTGTGCTTCCCGTGACACGTGGACGTGTGTACTCTGGTGGGAGTGTGTTAGTGTGTTCTGGCCGTGTACTGAAGAGGCACTGGAATACACCTGAATCCTTTACATTTTTGCTCTTAAAAGGAATACACTTAGTAAGTTTTGGGGTGTAAAATTGTTGTGGACATGTCACCTGCCCTTCATCTTCGTAGTTCAGTTGTGGCGGATCTGGTGTTGGTCGAGGACGAACTGGGTACACGGTTGTGCAGCAGCTATCTTCCGTATTCTTCCTTTCCTTACTCAGGAGACCCATAGACTTATCCAACTCACCATCCCCCTACTATATTTTCATCCTCTCAGAACTGCGTTCTGCCGTGTCCCTCAGCAATACTACGCCAGCTGACGGTTTTCAGAGATGCTCAGTCAAATCTTTGCTCCTTGCAGTATTTGTTGCATATCTATAAACGTATTTTGGTGTCGATTTCAATCCCCCGTAGACTGGCTCGAGGCTGTTGTTGAAGACTTATTGTTAGAAAACTTTCTACTCGAGGGACTTGCCCCTAAGGATTTCCTTCCCATTACCTGGACAAGCAGTGTGCACACTTGTCGACGGTATGAGTAGTAATGTTGCTGCTCCATCTCCTCCCATCCAACAATTTGGTTTTCGTTAGTGCACTTTGTGACATTCGGACCGACTTTGCTGCAGCTTTATCTTTGAAAGGCTTATGATACCACCTGAAGATAAAATATGTCCAACCGCATTAATTTGACATTCATGGCAGTCCCCTGCACTCCCCGAAAAGTTTCTTCTCGTAGGTATTTCAAGTAACTGTCCCCTGCCCCCCCCCCCCCCCCCCCAAAAAAAAAAAAAGAAGAGCAGGGTGGTGTTCCATCAGGTGCCTGAGTTGAGTGTGTGTGTGGCCAATATGTAGCCTTGCCAGAGCAGTTTCCCACGATGTAGTATGGGGGGAAGTGCATTAACATGAGCAAGTGCCAAGCCATTAGGACTAACACTTGGAAGGAATGGTTCCCAGCCACTTAGACGGTCGGGGATTGAACTCTTAAGTTGCATGAAGCGAGACAGATCAAATTGCAAACCCATAAAGATAACAGACCAAAGGTCCCGGATTAAGGAATGAATGAATGAATGGGTAGAAATTTGAATAAGGACTGTCGTTTTGGGGGAAATAAACAAAAGCGCAAAAAGTCATCTTAGCAGCAGTGTCCGCACCTTCATTTAGGATAATACCAATATGGGTGGGAACCCAGCCATATTGTTTCAACCCAGCCCCAAACACTGTCCTTACGCTCCTGGAGATAAGAACCGGCTAATATTGAATTTAAACCAACAGGATGCATAGGGTTAACTGACAAGAGCCACAAGGGCACAAGAGTGTCGACCAAAATAACGAAAGTACATTGACGTCGGGAAAGCGGTCGACGAAGAACTTAAGAGACTGCATGAAGTTCCAGTGTGTGTAGGTGTGGTGTGGCCTGGGGTTGGTGTGGTGTGGCCTGGGGTTGGTGTGGTGTGGCCTGGGGTTGATGTGGTGTGGCCTGGGGTTGATGTGGTGTGGCCTGGGGTGGTGTGGTGTGGCCTGGGGTTGATGTGGTGTGGCCTGGGGTTGGTGTGGTGTGGCCTGGGGTTGGTGTGGTGTGGCCTGGGGTTGGTGTGGTGTGGCCTGGGGTTGGTGTGGTGTGGCCTGGGGTTGGTGTGGTGTGGCCTGGGGTTGATGTGGTGTGGCCTGGGGTTGGTGTGGTGTGGCCTGGGGTTGGTGTGGTGTGGCCTGGGGTTGGTGTGGTGTGGCCTGGGGTTGGTGTGGTGTGGCCTGGGGTTGGTGTGGTGTGGCCTGGGGTTGGTGTGGTGTGGCCTGGGGTTGGTGTGGCCTGGGGTTGATGTGGTGTGGCCTGGGGTTGGTGTGGTGTGGCCTGGGGTTGGTGTGGTGTGGCCTGGGGTTGGTGTGGTGTGGCCTGGTATTCGTTTGCCTTGTTCGGGTAGAAGGTAGACACAGTAGTCGCTTCTGTATATATTTATTGACTGAGATAGCAAGGTATATATCTGCCTAGCCGAGGTCCTTCTACTCTGAGCCTGTGAGGATAACTGAGGCTGCTGGGAGCATGGCTGATGCTCCTCTGTCTGGCATGACGTCAGAGGCCTACTCGCCTGTGATTGGTTACATTTCAACTGACAGAATTTGAGTATAACACCGCTCGGACAGCGCTTCGGATTCGTTGTCCTGAGGTTCCAGGCTTTTCCAGGTAATAATGATGGAAATACAGTTGTAACAAACTTGTTTGACACGCCTATTATTGCACGATATATTCGCATCAAGCCAACAAGATGGCGCGATCGCATCTCTCTCCGACTGGAAGTGTATGGTTGCAAATATGTATCAGAATCGATAAGTTTTCATGGGAATTCCATGGTTGTGATGGATTTCACAAGAGTTCCAATAACCTCTCTCAGGGACCATATCCGCTTTCGGTTTCGCACGACATTTCCTGATGCAATGTTGATGTACAGTCGAGGAACTCAGGGTGATTTTTTGGCCCTGCAGCTAGTGCAGAACAGGATGGTACTTAATGTCAACCTCGGATCAAAATTATTGACCTCACTGTCTGTGGGTTCATTGTTAGATGACAATGCTTGGCATGATGTGGAGATCAGAAGAGAACAGAGGAATGTGACGTTTCTGGTTGACCGTGTCCGCAGAGATGACATAATTCTTGGAGACTTCAAAAGATTAGATTTAAATCAAGAGTTTTATATTGGTGGTGTACCAAACATGCAAACTGGCATGAAGGTTCGTGTCAACTTCACGGGTTGCATCGAAAACCTCTTCATAAACGGCACAGCTATCATTCCAGAGATGCGAGATGCTGATGATTACTATTCATACTACTACAGTCGTCCAAAATACACGAAGATTAATACTGTATCAACATGTCCATATGGAGACTCAGCAGAGTTGACCCTCACATTCCTCAGAAGGGAAGCTCATCTCCGGTATCCAGCATTTGAAGATCAGCGCTCACTCAATGTTTCACTAGATTTCCGGACTTATGAAGATAAAGGTGTTCTCATTTATCATAAATTTTCAACTGTAGGGTATTTCAAGATTTTCTTAGATGAAGGTAAAGTGAAGGTGGAGGTTTCAGCAACAAATACTCCAGGAAAAGTTTTGCTAGACAACTTTGATGTATCATATAACGATGGGCGGTGGCACAAAGTGATGTTTACCATCGCAGAGAACAGCATGGAACTCAGTATTGACGATGTGCCCATGAAGACAGTACGAGTTATCTCCATTTTATCTGGAAAATATTTCCTTGTTGGAGGTGGTGTATATGGCTCAGATGGCTTCTTGGGATGCATGAGACGAATCTCAGTGGTTGGGTTTATGCAGAAACCTCAGGAAGATGAAATCAGTGACAGCAAGGGTGTGGTACTAGCTGCGTGCCAAATCATGGACCGATGTGATCCCAACCCTTGCGAACATCACGGACGTTGTAAACAGAACTCCCGGGAATTTTTATGTGACTGCTCTGGCACCGGCTACTCTGGTGCTGTCTGTCACACCTCTCTCAATCCAATATCTTGTGCTGCATATGGTATACAGAACCCAGGATCTAAGCGTGCTGAAGTATATATTGATGTTGATGGCTCTGGACCTCTTGTGCCTTTCCCTGTCACCTGCGAGTTTTATAATGATGGAAAAATATATTCCTACTTGAGCCACAAACATGAGAAGATGACTACTGTTGATGGATTTGAGAAAAGGGGATCATATGTACAGAATATAATTTATGATGCTGGCATGGAACAAATTGAAATTTTTGTAAATCGCTCCAGCAAATGTCGGCAGCGTATACACTATGAGTGTCTGAAGGCAAAACTTTTTAATTCCCCATCTCCTGAAGACCAAGATTTCCAGCCTTACACATGGTGGGTGTCGCGCAATAATCAGCCTATGGATTATTGGGGTGGATCGCTGCCAGGATCACGCAAGTGTGAATGTGGACTTATGGGTACCTGCGTCACTGACAAGTGGTGCAATTGTGATGCTGGTTTGGAGTCGTGGCTGTTTGACAGTGGGGAGCTAACAGTGAAGGAACACCTTCCTGTACGTCAACTACGAATAGGTGATACAGGCTCTCCATTGGATGGCAAGAAGTCTAGATACACCCTTGGTCCTCTTATTTGTGAGGGTGACAATATATTTGACAATGTGGTAACATTCCGCAAAGCTGATGCCACTATAAACCTTCCCCAATTTGACATGGGGCATTCAGAAGATATATATCTGCCTAGCCGAGGTCCTTCTACTCTGAGCCTGTGAGGATAACTGAGGCTGCTGGGAGCATGGCTGATGCTCCTCTGTCTGGCATGACGTCAGAGGCCTACTCGCCTGTGATTGGTTACATTTCAACTGACAGAATTTGAGTATAACACCGGGGTTGGTGTGGTGTGGCCTGGGGTTGATGTGGTGTGGCCTGGGGTTGATGTGGTGTGGCCTGGGGTTGGTGTGGTGTGGCCTGGGGTTGGTGTGGTGTGGCCTGGGGTTGGTGTGGTGTGGCCTGGGGTTGGACTAGGTGTGGTGTGGCCTGGGGTTGGTGTGGTGTGGCCTGGGGTTGGAGTAGGTGTGGTGTGGCCTGGGGTTGGTGTGGTGTGGCCTGGGGTTAGAGTAGGTGTGGTGTGGCCTGGGGTTGGTGTGGTGTGGCCTGGGGTTGGAGTAGGTGTGGTGTGGCCTGGGGTTGGAGTAGGTGTGGTGTGGCCTGGGGTTGGTGTGGTGTGGCCTGGGGTTGGAGTAGGTGTGGTGTGGCCTGGGGTTGGTGTGGTGTGGCCTGGGGTTGGAGTAGGTGTGGTGTGGCCTGGGGTTGGAGTAGGTGTGGTGTGGCCTGGGGTTGGTGTGGTGTGGCCTGGGGTTGGTGTGGTGTGGCCTGGGGTTGGTGTGGTGTGGCCTGGGGTTGGAGTAGGTGTGGTGTGGCCTGGGGTTGGTGTGGTGTGGCCTGGGGTTGGAGTAGGTGTGGTGTGGCCTGAGGTTGGTGTGGTGTGGCCTGGGGTTGGAGTAGGTGTAGTGTGGCCTGGGGTTGGAGTAGGTGTGGTGTGGTGTGGCCTGGGGTTGGTGTGGTGTTTCCTGGGGTTGGTGTGGTGTGGCCTGGGGTTGGTGTGGTGTGGCCTGGGGTTGGTGTGGTGTGGCCTGGGGTTGGAGTAGGTGTGGTGTGGCCTGGGGTTGGAGTAGGTGTGGTGTGGCCTGGGGTTGGTGTGGTGTGGCCTGGGGTTGGTGTGGTGTGGCCTGGGGTTGGTGTGGTGTGGCCTGGGGTTGGAGTTGGTGTGGTGTGGCCTGGGGTTGGTGTGGTGTGGCCTGGGGTTGGTGTGGTGTGGCCTGGGGTTGGAGTAGGTGTGGTGTGGCCTGGGGTTGGTGTGGGGTGGCCTGGGGTTGGTGTGGTGTGGCCTGGGGTTGGTGTGGTGTGGCCTGGGGTTGGAGTAGGTGTGGTGTGGCCTGGGGTTGGAGTAGGTGTGGTGTGGCCTGGGGTGTGAGTAGGTGTGGTGTGGCCTGGGGTTGGAGTAGGTGTGGTGTGGCCTGGGGTTGGAGTAGGTGTGGTGTGGCCTGGGGTTGGAGTAGGTATGGTGTGGCCTGGGGTTGGAGTAGGTGTGGTGTGGCCTGGGGTTGAAGTAGGTGTGGTGTGGCCTGGGGTTGGAGTAGGTATGGTATGGTCTGGGGTTGGAGTAGGTGTGGTGTGGCCTGGGGTTGGAGTAGGTGTGGTGTGGCCTGGGGTTGGAGTAGGTATGGTGTGGCCTGGGGTTGGAGTAGGTGTGGTGTGGCCTGGGGTTGGAGTAGGTATGGTGTGGCTTGGGGTTGGAGTAGGTGTGGTGTGGCTTGGGGTTGGAGTAGGTGTGGTGTGGCCTGGGGTTGGAGTAGGTATGGTGTGGCCTGGGGTTGGAGTAGGTGTGGTGTGGCCTGGGGTTGGAGTAGGTATGGTGTGGCCTGGGGTTGGAGTAGGTATGGTGTGGCCTGGGGTTGGAGTAGGTGTGGTGTGGCCTGGGGTTGAAGTAGGTGTGGTGTGGCCTGGGGTTGGAGTAGGTATGGTATGGTCTGGGGTTGGAGTAGGTGTGGTGTGGCCTGGGGTTGGAGTAGGTATGGTGTGGCCTGGGGTTGGAGTAGGTGTGGTGTGGCCTGGGGTTGGAGGAGGTGTGGTGTGGCCTGGGGTTGGAGTAGGTGTGGTGTGGCCTGGGGTTGGAGTAGGTGTGGTGTGGCCTGGGGTTGGAGTAGGTGTGGTGTGGCCTGGGGTTGGAGTAGGTGTGGTGTGGCCTGGGGTTGGAGTAGGTGTGGTGTGGCCTGGGGTTGGCGTAGGTGTGGTGTGGCCTGGGGTTGGAGTTGGTGTGGTATGGTCTGGGGTTGGAGTAGGTGTGGTGTGGCCTGGGGTTGGAGTAGGTGTGGTGTGGCCTGGGGTTGGAGTAGGTGTGGTGTGGCCTGGGGTTGGAGTAGGTGTGGTGTGGCCTGGGGTTGGAGGAGGTGTGGTGTGGCCTGAGGTTAGAGTAGGTGGGGTGTGGCCTGGGGTTGGAGTAGGTGCGGTGTGGCCTGGGGTTGGAGTAGGTGTGGTGTGGCCTGGGGTTGGAGTAGGTATGGTGTGTCCTGGGGTTGGGGTAGGTGTGGTGTGGCCTGGGGTTGGAGTAGGTGTGGTGTGGCCTGGGGTTGGAGTAGGTGTGGTGTGGCCTGGGGTTGGAGTAGGTGTGGTGTGGCCTGGGGTTGGAGTAGGTGTGGTGTGGCCTGGGGTTGGGGGAAGGGTTGTTATAGGAGTTGAGGTTGGGGTTGGTATAGGAGGTGGGGTTGGGGTTGTTGTAGTGATGGGTGAGGTGTAAGTGGGTGTTGTGGTATTGGTGTTATTTACTCACCTAGTTGTGTTTGCGGGGGTTGATCTCTGGCTCTTTGGTCCCGCCTTTCAACCGTCAATCAACTGGTGTACAGATTCCTGAGCCTACTGGGCTCTGTCATATCTACATTTGAAACTGTGTATGGAGTCAGCCTCCACCACATCACTTTCTAGTGCATTCCATTTACTAACTACTCTGACGCTGAAAAAGTTCTTTCTAATGTCTCTGTGGCTCATTTGGGTACTCAGCTTCCACCTGTTTCCCCTTGTGTGTGTGACACCTATGTTAAATAATCCATCCTTGTCCACCCTGTCAATTCCCCTGAAAATTTTGTATGTGGTGATCATGTCTCTCTTAGCTCTTCTGTCTTCCAGCGCCGTGAGGTGCAGTTCACGTAGTCTGTCCTAATAACTCATGCCTCTTAGTTCTGGGACTAGCCTAGTGGCATACCTCTGAACTTTTTCCAGCTTCGTCTTGTGCTTGACTAGATACGGGCTCCATGCTGGGGCTGCATACTCCAGGATTGGCCTTACATATGTGGTATACAAGGTTCTGAAGGATTCCTTACACAGGTTTCTGAAAGCAGTTCTGATGTTAGCCAGCCTCGCATAGGCCGCTGATGTTATTCTTTTGATGTGGGCTTCAGGAGACAGGTTTGGCGTGATATCAACTCCTAGATCTTTCTCTCTGTCCGTTTCGTGAAGGACTTCATCTCCCATTCGGTATCCAGTGACTGGCCTCCTAGTTCCTCCTCCTAGTTTCATTACCTTACATTTACTTGGATTGAAATTTAGTAGCCATTTGTCGGACCATTCCTTCAGTTTGTCTAGGTCATCTTGTAGCCTCATACTATCCTCCTCTGTCCTGATCTTCCTCATAATTTTCGCGTCATCAGCAAACATCGAGAAGAACGAGTCAATTCCTTCTGGAAGATCATTTACGTATATCAGAAACAGTATAGGTCCAAGGACTGATCCCTGTGGGACTCCACTGGTGACTCCCCGCCACTCTGAGACCTCACCTCTCACGGTGACTCGCTGTGTCCTGTTGCTTAGGTACTCTCTTATCCAGTGGAGTACCTTTCCTTTCACTCCTGCCTGCATCTCCAGTTTGTGCACTAGTCTCTTATGTGGTACTGTGTCAAAAGCTTTCTTGTGTTCCAGAAATATGCAGTTTGCCCAGCCCTCTCTCTCTTGCCTAATTTTTGTTGCCTGGTCATAGAACTCAATTAATCCTGTTAGGCATGATTTGCCATCTCTGAACCCATGTTGTTGATGTGTTACAAAGTTCTTTTGCTCCAGATGTTCCACTAGCTTTTTTCGCACAATCTTTTCCATCATCTTGCATGGAATGCAAGTTAGAGACACTGGCCTGTAGTTCAGTGCCTCCTGCCTATCACTCTAATTGTATATTGGGACTACATTGGTTGTCTTCCAAATTTTTGGCAGTTCGCCTGTTACCAGTGACTTCTTGTACACTATAATAATGATAATAATAATTTTTATTTAGGTAAGGTACATACATAAAGAGATTTAACAAAGTTTGTTGGCTTTATAGATAGAGCTAGTACATACAATGCCTAAAGCCACTATTACGCAAAGCGTTTCGGGCAGGAAAAACATTAATGACTAAAGCTTAAAACTAATGGGAAAAAGAATAAAATGTGTTGAGAACAAATAAAAATAGAGGTAAAAGAGGGGGGAACATTGTTGAAAAAGCAGCACAAATACAATTACAAATTATTACAGAAAATTACATTCAAACAGCGTTGATTTGAAAAAAAAAAAAAAAAAAAAAAAAAAAAAAAAACATACATGGGTTGACAACAGAGGGGTAAGGTAGGTTACAGAGAATTAATTAGGTATAGCTTCGTTTTTAACTTAAACTGGTTGAGAGAGGTACAGTCTTTAACATGGTTGGGAAGGTCATTCCACATTCTGGGCCCTTTGATTTGTAGAGCATTTCTGGTTTGATTAAGTCGTACTCTAGGAATATCAAAACTGTATTTATTTCTGGTGTGGTGCTCATGGGTTCTGTTACAACCTTCTATGAAGCTTTTGAGATCAGGATTGGCATTATAGTTTAGCGTTTTATATATGTATAATACACATGAGATAATACACGTGCAGTGACTTAATGTCTAACATATTCAGAGATTTGAGTAGGGGTACCGAGTGATGTCTGGGGCCAGAATTGGATATTGTCCTAATGTAACACTGTAAAAGTGTTTGGTTTAGTTTAATACATACATAGAGTACATGAGTCACAGACAAGGATCTGAGAGGCGCCAGTTTGTCGGCCTGAAACTCACACCTCTAAGCGTTAATGACCCCAAGTGACCTGAGGTCAGATCATGCGAATTTCACCTTGCTTCCGCTAAGCTTATAATTGTAGTCTGGTAGCCTTCAAACATGCCGACGTTTAAGGAGTGGCTTGGTAG